AAAAGGGACAGAGATGTGCAGGTGTTTCAAATTACTGAGAGGAAGAAACTACTCCTAACAAATTAGACTAAATGATATTTGGCACCTATACCAAAATTAAACTTGTTTATGAATGTTACAGCACACTCATCCAAACAGACTACAGTTTTTAAGAAGAGAATCATGTTTCAGTAGATCTATAAATAAATTAATTAAAATTGGTCCTTGAAAAAAATTATTTTCTTAGACTTCATGAGAGATACTTTGTAGTTTTCATATAACTTAAATTAACAGAAATGTATTATACATTTTAAAAAGCATGATTACTGTATTCTTGAGTGTGCATCTAATTGTTGTAATTGCATCAACAGTTCAGATCACTAATTAGGTGACTGTGGTGTCAGAGATCACAAACCATCAGGAGCCTCCTCGTGCCTCCTCTGTGTGCAGGCCACAGGGGCAGGACCTGGCTGTTAAATCCTTCCCTATGGATTGATCAGCTCAGTCCCTGCTCTCAGAAGGATCTTTCTGCTCAGGCTGGTGACACCTCACCTGCTGAAAGGGAGGCTGAGCCAACAACAATTAACTCTAAAATGAAGGTTTGTCAATCCTCTTATAGATAATACCAGTCTTGCAAACAGTCCTCTAAATTAAACCATTTTTAAAAAGTCAGATTCACTAACTAAATTATATTTTATGGAGATCAATTACTTTTAAACTTAAAAATCTGTGTACCAGATTACCATATGGGTTGCTTGTTAACCCCTTTTTGTGAACAAACAGTAATTGATAGTTTATTAAATGACATAGTTGTGGTTCTTGTGAATATACAGTGACTTTGCTACAACATGTGTGCAATGTCCTTATTACTGTGTTGATTTTCTAAATGCTGCCTGTGTGCTGATGTTTAGATTTGACATGAAGGCATCTCTTGGAATGTCATTAAAGATGTATTTTAATCTTTTGCAGACAGGATAAAAATGACATAGATAAGAGAGGAGTCTGTGAGAGAGGGCTTGTGCATCCCCTTCCCAGGGATCAGGCATGGCTGACCTGCTTTAGCTGATGATTACAGCACTACATGATTTCCTAGGCTGCCCTCCCTCGTACAGAAAAAGTAATGGAATTTACTGTCAAGGGATATCTGTCTTAAGAGATAATTTTCTGTGCTTCTTTGAAATGAGCTTCCCAACCTTATTTCCTTAGCATTGTCTAGACCTTCCTGGAGAATGATAAACTGGCTAAACATTAGAATTCACAGCCTTTCTTGGCTGAGATGCATTTAGAAAAAAGAAAAAGGCAACTCAGCTGCTAGTTGGACATGATAGAAATGTGAAAAATTTTTGGACAAAGTAAGTACCTTGTAATAGTAGTATTAGAATCCTTGGATTGGCAGGTTTTGAATTTTCATTTCTTAATTATAAGCACTCATTAAATAAGCCACAAACCCCACTTGTAATTAATTCAAACTGCAGATTTACAGCCTTGTTAATAACTCAAGGCAGATGGAAAAAATGCATTACAGAGCAAGAGGTATTTTTCCCTTAGCAGAGACAGATTTCCAGCTAGGCATGCTGTAAAACAGACAGGGTTTGTACATTTTTTTAGGAGACTGAAACCTTCCTCTTATCTATACAAAAATTCTTTTTAGAAAGTACTACCCCTGTGGATTTTAACACTGCTGGGCTGTTAAATGAAAAAGCAGAAGACAATAAAAGACTCCAAATTCTTCCACTTATAGCTAGAATATTGTGACTTATAGGATTAGAGTTACTAGTGAAAGTTGCAGGTCTCTGCTCTAATTATCATTCTTGGAAATGAATGTATAGGTGTGATCAAGTAAGTGACCTTTCTGTCTGTGGATAAAAGAGGGAAGTTACTGCTACCATTTCTGATGGATACACAGAAGGGCCCAGGAGAGTGAGATCCAGCTTGCCTTATTTTCTTCTTCCACCATCTGAAAGGTATTACCAGAAGCAGCTGGTATTAGTGGGAAGGTGGATCAGGTAACCTTCCCTGTTCTGGTGCTGTGATGCTGCCCTGGGGAGCTGCTGCAGCAAAATGAGCATTTCCTCACCCCAGACCACATGGAGAGGGACATTCAGTGAGGAGGTGCCACATCCATCTTCTTAAAAGGTTGTGTGCTTGCTAATGTTAGTTGTAAGTGCACAGCTTCATAAATGCCAGCCTTAGTAATGATGGATTTAGGGACAGAACTTGCAGAAAGGAGGTGTTATTTAGGTGTTCAAGGCCAGATACTGTGTCAACAAATTATCACTGCCTTGCCCACCAGTGGGCTTGCAGGAGAGTTCATGCAACTGACTCAGGGCTTTTATTCCTGAAGAATATAAAGTTAATGTCATCATTTTCTTGTAAATTATTCTAAAGCATCTCCTAGGGTGATGACTAGGGTGATAAATTGGAAAATGAGAGTATTTACTGGAAGGGGAGTAAGAGAAGGTTCAGCAAGTACAGGACAGAGTGTACACTGTGACTGGTGAATCCAGTGCATCACAAATTCTGCAGAAAGCAGAGGCATTTTAGGACAACCTGTTTTTGCAAGTAAAATTAATGTGCAGGAATGACATATTGTGCAATCATTGGGAAACTTCTTGACAGAAGTTTAAGGGCCTTGGCTCCTAATACAAGAGTACCAGCTGAGATGTCTCCCTACCTGCTGGACTGAGTTGCAGATGAATTTTTTTATGAAACTCCCTCAAAATCGTAATTGGTCAGTTTGACCTCCAAAATCAAAGGACTCTATTTAGATTCTCCTTTCCATACTGACTAACTGAGGCTTTGAAAGAAAGGGTTTGCTCTCTAGACTTGAAAAAAGAGCTGATATAATCCTTCCTTCAGCTGAACAGACTGAAGTGTTAACAAATTTCAGTTTTTCCTTCTGGTGATGGAGAGTAATGAGGATGAAGCACCAGTTAATAATTTTTCAAACCCTTTGAATAATTATTAGGCTGTCTAGCATTTTAAGGCACCTCAAATAATGTGATGCTGCTACTTGCTGGTTTCTCAGTTAAGAAAGTGGATACTCATTTGAGTTACATGAGGGTATTTTAACCTTTTAAAAATTGCTTCTTTGCATTTTCCTTCAGAAGTAAACTCAAACTCCTGTTGTTATTTCAATTTGGTGTAAATCTTCTGTAATTTTAGGGCTGTTCTTTGGAAATAATCTACATCTTACAGTATGTGCTTAGGAAAGAGTTGTGACTGTAACACAGACAGTAAATTGAGACTGCTCATTTCCATGGCTGTTTATTCACCTGATGTGTCAGAGCATCAGTACCTTCATTAGTCACATCAACTTCAGCAATTCAAAAGATTCAAATGATAGTTTAATGACAAAGAGTGAGCTTAAGCTTCCATTCAAACCCCTTGCCTCTGCACATTTTGGCTGGGCTCAGTTGATGCATCCCTCCACTGGTGTATCACAATCAGGATATCAGATTAGTCTGTATTTAGACTTCTTTCAATGAAGAATTAAGCAGTGTGTGCAATCATGTTAATATTTTTTTCTTTTTTTAATGCAATTCCCTTTTTCCTGGGCTAAAGGAGTTTTGTTTTGTGTCTTCCTGGCAGCAGTAAATTTGCAAATATTGCACTGACAGAACAATGGCATTTTACCTGTTACTCCCCACATGAGGCATTCCCAGGAATAATTATGTGGGAATAGAGACCTTTGTGGACTGGAGCCATAGAGGGTAGTGAGAAATTGGGCTAGCCAGTGCCTGTCATGCTGATTCACTCTTCTCATTGTTTTCTTATATTTTCTCATCTGCTTGTACTTTTTTCCCTCTTAGAAGTGCATTCTTTGGGGAGGGGCTGTCAGTCTGTTCTGCACAGGACCAGTTCTAACTTACTTTTCAGGTAGACAGCAATATTTCTTTGTCATTGTTTATTAGAGCTTGGAGAGTTTTGAATGACTTGGTGAGCTCAGAAATGAGATTTCATTGATTTCTCCCACTTTAAAAGGAAATCATACACACATGCACATGTCAAATTTGCTTTTTTATTTTTTTTAAGCCACTATTGAAGTCAGGCTGGAATAGGTTGTCCTTTCAGTGTTCTGGACTGTGCTTAGGTAGTGTCCAGGACAGTGTGGCTCTTGTCCAAGCTTGGTCTCACTGGTATTTCAAGCCTGAAGGATGGAAGACTCCCCCAACTTCCCTGAAGAGAACATGTCAACAGCCTGGTAAAGTCAGAGGACTGCAAAGGAGCCAAAACAACTGGTAGGCCACAAAAAGAAAATTAATTTCATTTTACTTCTATTCATGAGGCACCTGGCAAACAGAAATACCCCTCAAATTTAGGAGACTTGTAGATACTTTCTTTTACTAAAGTTGGGGTTCAATCCATAATGTAAGAGTTCAAAACTAACACCAAAATTAAAATAATTGTTGAGAAAGCCAGTGTGCTGATTATGCTGAAAAGCTGACCATGTGAAAACACACAGTGAGGACACCACAGCATCCTAAGCTTGTTCCCATAGTGATACCCTGAAGGCAGAGTTTTCAGCCAGTCCATACATGGGAACCTGAGGAACCCAACACTGGAATGTTTCACTCAGAGTTGTGTAATAGCATTCCAAACTTTGCATTTCACATCCACACCCTCTCCAAAGGAAGAGAGAAAAAAGCTGACATAGAGAGTCTAGGCCACTCCTCTGCAGTTTGCAAAGGAGTAGTGGCACTTCTGCTGTGTCTTTTCTACTGCCCAGAAACAAAACTTCCCCATAAGGGAAGTGTGAAACTGGAGCTCTCCTCCAGGGACAGCAGGCAGGAAGGAGAGCAGGTGCATGGTGCAGTGACTGCACTCCCACTGGCATTCAGAAGCTCTGGAGGAACTGTGCCTTCTTGACTGTCCCAGACTTCCTTGATTTTGGCTGACCTTACACAAGGCACAGTCCTGAGTCACAACTGAGCACAGAGACCCCTGTTACAGATAAACAGAGTTTGAAATCCTACTGCAGTTTGTCCTGATGTCAAAAGAATCTTTGTATCACAGCTCACTCCTTAAAAAGTGTTACTTTTATTGACAAGTCAGTGGTTGAGATGTAATAAATACTAAACCAACCTTATCCATCATACACAATGGATCAATTGGATTTTTGGCTTCAGGAAGTGTGTGAGCAAGTGACCACACTATTCACAGTTGTGCACACAAATCACCTGGATTGCAGTTCACAGTTTAAGGGATGTGATTACACACCACAGCTTAAATGGTGGCTTATGAAACTTCATCATGGGATTTCAGATAGATTGGCTTAGAAATCTTCCTTAACTTTTCCTGGTGTCGCAATGTACGGCCTTGTTTGTGGGCAAGGCCCATGGGAGGCAGATGGATCTGGAAAAGAAAATCCCACCAGTTAGGTGCATATTGGGAAGAAAAATACAGACTAAGTTTCACTGAGTTTTAAATCATTTCTTCACACTTTGGAGAGGGTAACTCTATTTTCTCAAGCCAGGTTATTAGATTTCTAGGAGGAGCACTCTCTGAGGAGTGATTAGTGGTGTAATTTTCAGAACTAATTGGTGGTGTAACTATAACAGAACTAATTGTTCTGCTTATTAAAATGCCATATATTTTAGGCCTTAATAAAATTCTATCTATGTAAGACCTTAGTAACTTTGTTTTGCAGTTTGGTATCACACAGCAATGATACCTGATGAAATAGGATTGCTGACAATGTTCCAGAACAGTAAGAACTAGAAACCCTAAAAACTCTTGAGTAATGTCTTGAATCACTGTGTGATTTATTCATACCTACTTAACAAGTTACAAAATAACCCCAAACTGTATGTACTGAGAAGCTGCCTTTTTACTGTCATGATTATATATATATGGCACATTAAAATGTACAATCAATGTCATTGACTCCATAAGCAGAAGGAGCAATAGGTGACAGACTCTTCCTTTGATTGACAAAGTCTTTATGTTTCATAAGACTGTTAGTGGGAATCATGCAGCTGTAACCCTGAAATGACTGAAAAATGTAGGTGGTAGCAGTCAGGTGTTACTGTGGCTGAGGCTGTCATCCTGGAAGATGGGTGTTTAGGTGCAAATAGTAGTAAAAGCACTGACTAAAGCAGCAGTAGAGATTTCTAGAATCTGAAAAATAATAATCATCCAGTTTGTCTGAGAGAGCAGATCCTTTGGGATTTTGAAATTACTGCAGAGGACACATTTTAGGCCCCTTTCTAGGAACACTGTTTGCCAGCTGTGCATTGCTATTCTGTATACTGAAACAGATGGTAACAGTGACCATAGTCTAAGCAAGTATCTGCTAAAGATACAATTTAATTTTGACCGTGATTGCCTTAATAAGGGAACTGTAGATGTGAACAGTTCCCTTAGTCATCAACAGGAGCAGAGAGGATGCCTCTATGGGAGGCAGCATAAAGTATTACTGACAGAGGTGACTGGGCAGGGAGGAAACTGTATTGAATGGTGCAGTAGAAAACTTTGCTGCAAATTCCAGCATTTCAGTAATTTTGGACATGTTCTTCTGTAGGAAGAGGAGAAAAGAAGCAGCAACACAGAGAGGTAAGGCCTGATTTGTGACCAGGAGAACAGTTAACAGCAATGTAGGCTGTAAAAATTATTGTACCTATGGCAGATGTAATGAGGTATTTTTATTCTCTCATTCTCTTCTATTATTTGATTCCATTACCATGTTTCTCTATATTCACTGGTTGGCTAAATACTCAAGAGGCTTTGGGAATTTAGTTCATGCAACTCCATTTAGACTTTGACTCCTTATTTTGAGAAGAAATTCCCCAATTTACAATGAAAGATAGAGAACATCTCAATGTACATTTGGCTCTGCTTTAGCATACATTTAAATGCCAGCTCATCTAAAAATGCAGTGCAGTGAGAGTGATGGAAACTGATGGTTTTGTGGTGCAGGGAAAGCTCAGCAGGTATCAGTGAAGAGTTTGTGATTTATACTCACAGGTCTTGGGTAGGGGATGTTATAGTGAAGTCCAATTTCTATTCTTGCCTCACATTCTTCTATGCACTGCTTAATCAGCTTTGGATCTGTTACCTGGGATGATCAGACAAACAAGTGTTTTATGGGAGTACAGTAATTAGCAATTGGAAGCCCAAGTGTAAATGATGCCCAGCACATGGCTTTCCTTAGCTTCTTTTGGCAAACTCAAGGATACAATGAATTGTATTTTCACACCCATAAAAGGTATCATTGGTATTTTCCTGGACTCAGCAGTTCTGGGCTTGATGGTGCTGAATGTTAACGCCCAGAGGCTGTCAGGACTGAGGCTACAGAAGGAGTTTTTTACCCAAACATGGTATTTTCTCTGTAAAAAGACAAAACACATGTAAACTACCACTACATCTATGAAAAAACCACGCTCATCTGTTTGTCACTCTGCAAGGTCACCATTGGAGAAAGGAAAGACACTGCTTGGTGTACATTCCGTTATCATCCTATCCAGAAACTCTCTTTGAAGTGAGAAATGTGGTGTGAATTATGACTTAAATTCATTTTTTTGATTTTGCATTACTTCAATTTAATCCCAGACCAATATGGGATATAAATAAGTGTTGTGATCTTGAATTACAAGAAGGGCCTTTGATTACCAGGGTTTGAAATTTCTTCCTTAAGAAAAAAATTAAAGTGCTTCTTTTAAAAGAAATGCCAATAATTGCTGCTTTGAAAAGAAAAAAAGAAGCTTCTGAGTTCTGTTTGCCATTGCATGGGTAATGATACACTTAGCTAACTTTGTAAAGATCAAAAGCTGCTTCAATTACACAAGCAGTATCTTTGGAATTTAATTTTTTCTTGGCACTTTTTTACTGAAAAAAGACCTTTTAGACTTCTACAGTAGTTAATGAAGAGCTGAAATGGTTTGAGTTTTCTCAGGGATGATATTTAAACTGTAACCCAAATACACCAGCATTTAAGGTGAACGAAATTTTGGGAACTCAACCCTTACATTCCTATCTTAGCGTCCAACCACAGAGTGCAAACAGCAGGACAAGAGTAATTAGGAAATTCAGCACCAGGAGGACACTCACGTTTCTGTTTTTTCGGAATAATGTTCTGGCTTCATTTCTGATGTACTCCTTCTCCCTCATGGTTTGCTCTGTCTGTCCTGATGCCGACTGCCAGGTTCTGGCTATTCGCAAAACCTTGCGGTAAAGGCCGAGGACTTCTTGTCGAGTTGCTGGTGTCATCTAAAAGGACAAGACAAGACAAATCCCCCAACGTATGCATGAACATTTGAGTTGCCAAAAGGCCAGTGTCCTGGTTTGAAAAGGAAGTGAGTTTTTTTGGAGTTTGTGGTCAAACCAATCAGTGCTGAAATTTGAGTATTTGGACATTTGTTCACACCATTAAATTCGTTTAAAAATATTTCCGCTGTCCAAAGATAATGCTGAGCTACATGAAAAAACCCTGAAATAGCTGTAGACAATAATTAGCTGTTGAAAGTTGAAAACTCAGTCCAGCAAAGTATTTATGTAGATACTTAAATCTATCTGCATTCAAACAGCTTGAGCTCTTGCTCAGAGTTAAGCACTTGGTTTAGTGCTTTGCTGAATCAAGCCTGGTACAAGAATGCCTGGGTTCTGTTGCATTGATGTTTTGCAACAGACATTGGGCAAGTCACCGAAACTCTACATATCCCCCTTCCTGAGACATTGTTGTACCAATGCTGACCCTATCTTTGCAAATCTGTGAATGAAATACATGACAAAACCACCACAATATTGCTGAAAACTTGTATAGGCTCCAGGGGCTGAGAGGTTTATTTGTGATACCATGGCAGTAATGATTCAGCTGGAGTTTGAGGTGATGAAAAGGTGATGAAAGCTATTTTATCTAAGCACTCAGGAGAGGCAGACTAACTGTGGATTTAGGAAACTCCTGAATGTCTTGATTTTCAGAGAGCTGTGAACCTGCTGAGCCCACTGAATCAGCCTCCAGGTGTGAGAAGACTATTTGTCAGAAGAAAGAATGAAATCTTAGTCTTGTTTTATGTAAATGACTATTTTATCATGTAACTGGTTACACTATTTCATGACAGACCACAAATATCCCTTAGACAAATCCACTTCTGGATGACAAAATTTCAGTCATGAATTAAATTAACAGGAGCAATGACTTCTGCTCAAGGGGCAGTGAGAGGTACCTCACTGTGCCCAAGGAAGGTGCAGCAGCACTGCCAAGTGAGTGCATGGATGCAAGGAGGAACAAGTGTCAGGAACAGGCCATTATCTGACTATCAGGATTCATTTGCCAACCTGGAGCTCTAATTACTGGGGGTGAATCTACCCTGCAATCAGACCTGTGTGCTGGGAATGGACAGCTTGGAGCAGAGTAACTCAGCCAGCCTGACCTTCCCCCTGCAGGGAGCACCTTGGCCATGAGGAAAAGCTGCTTCCTAATGCAGCAGCCAACATCTGGCAGTGTGCTGTGGCTCAAATCCCTGCAGTCTGTGGCAATGCTGGGTTGTAAAAGAGGGGCTAAAGCCAAAGGCCTCTCAGGCTGTCCTGTTCTTTAGCTGCTGCCTCCAGCACAGTGGCTGACCAGAACCAGCCTCCTGTGGCTCCTGACCCTCTTTCCCTCACCAAAGGTGGAATTACAGATGCTAACCTGACACAGGATTTGACTCATGGTTCTTTTTCATAAAAAATCCTGAACTATAAATTCCTAGCCCTATCTTAACTGTTGCTGTCATCTAAAGACCTTTCATGGTTTCAAGAACTATTTTTCTTGGATTCTTAAGAGCAAACATTTTTGGTTTGTATTTTAACATGTTTAACGAATCATATATTTTTCCCCCAGACAGAAAATTATTCTTCCTACACAGCAGAAAGTACTTCTAGTAAATGGTTATAGTATTTCTAGGAAATGAATTCCACAATAATATAACTAGGTAGTCCCAGCTCATCAAACAGTTTGGAGAAAGTGCTTCAATTTATCCACTCTAGAGTTCCATTTCAGGCAGTGAAATCAGTCAGACACGAAGGCACAGATGTACCAGTATCTGAAAAATCACTGCTTCCCCCTGCTAGGTGCATATTTTGTACAGAAAAGAAAAGCTCAGTTACAAGGGTTATCCTAGCACAAGCAGAGTCCCAAATCTGCCTCACCTAGAGCCTCTCCTGACTTCCCTCCTCTGCTTTTATCTGAAGGTGTCACCTCTGAGAAGGTGATAACAGGTTAGGTTTTCATGTAATCCATAGAGAAAATAAAAGGAACAATGTTGGGGGTAAAAATGTTTAAGATACAGGTTTCAATTGTGATCTATGCATCAGACAATTTCCAAAGTGACAGCCTGGGACAGCGCATGCCCTTTGTTCAGAGCTGACTACACCTGCTGCCCTTGGGTTTTCGACTTACCAAGAATCTGTTTAGAAAGATTTTATTGAAAAGTCTAGAACCAACAATTACTTCCCCACTAGTTGCTCCCCCTCCCCCACCTACAACTTACTCTTTTGTCCTTTCCTCCTCTGTGCTGGCATTGCTACAGAACTGTGTAGCCCCTCATCTAGGTAGGCATGGGCTGCCCTTCTGCATTCCTGCTCTCCTTCCCACATAGGCTGGATGATGTAAAAGACATTAAGCAGCTATTCATCTCTACTCAGCAACCAGCTGCTCCCAGGGCTCATTTAGTGAACAGTTCTTATCATTACAGACCTGCTCATAAGCCATTTCTGCAAAGATACATAAATGAAGGTATGAGGAGCCCTTTGCAGGTTGAGGATTTCTGTCTATGATAGGAGAGGATGAGAGCAAATAAGACAAAATTCAAAGCCTGGGTCAGATTCTGATCTGAGTGGGAGTATAAATAGGGAGTAATTCCACTGAGAGCAAAATTACTTCAAACTTAAAATGTTGTAAATGAGATTGGAATTTTTCCTTTGGTATAAACAGTGCCCACACTGACAGAAATGTAAGTGATGGTACAAGTCATGTATCAGGTGCAATTTCATCAAGTGACACCACTTGTATTAGTTTTGTGGGTGTGCAAAATGATTCTGAGTGGGATAGAAAGGAAGATAAGGGAGGCTTTCATGTCCTTGCACTTACTCATCTTTCAACTTACATCTTTGGCATTTAAATCATAATTATATTTCACATCTCTGGAATGCTAAGTGGATGTTACACCACTTTCCCACTAACACCCATCTTGTGGTAGTCACACCCATTGTTTAACTTCTACCACCCTTCATTTTACTGCAGCGTGCAGCCCACAGAGGTTAACCACAGGCGTTTCTGTCAGAAAGTACAGGGCTATTGTATCAGCTGAGCAAATTTCGGGTGTTCACTGCCACAGAGCAAACCAGGAGAGGTCAGAGGGGAAGAGAGGAGGTCGCAGTTGGGGCCCAGTGCTGGAATCCGGGCTTTGGAGGGAGCCAAGCGCTGCCTCCCAGAGGAGCCCTGCTGGCTGCTGGGCAGAGCCAGTCCCACACACCCCCCTCTTATCAATCATCACCTGAAACATCCCATTGTACCCAAACTCCTAAGGAGATCTGAGCACTTAATGACTTACTGCATGGTGAACGTGCACACTTTTTTCACTGTTAATTAAAATAGTCCCTTAGACTATAAAATGCAGTAGGTTTTTCTTTCAGGAAACAAACAGACATTCCTTTGGATTGTTAGATGGTTGTTCAATAATCTGAATAATCAATGAAACACCAGTCTTATTTTGATGTTTGGGTTGTCTAGAATTTAAACTTGGCTAGGCTTGTCTAGAATTTAAACTAAAAGTTCATATAAAAATAATAAAAGGAATCTGCCAACTGCACTGTGCAATGACCCCAGGAGTGCAGTGTCAAAGCAGAGCTAGGACAGCAGACAGGCTGCACCAGGACTGACTGCAGATCCAGGAGCAGCTAAACCTCAGCTGCTTCCCAGCAGGGGATGCTTGCCTGGGAACACATGTCCAGCATCCTCCTCCTCTGCACAGCTCCTTTGGTGAAGTTGTAAGTCTATTTTATTTCATCCTTTCTTCTCAAATCAAGCATTAGCTACTCACTTTAAGCGTAAAATCTGCCAACAGTGAGTACATAGAGGATTTTAGAAAATAAAGGTTGAAAGGAAGAGCCCATGGGGGAAAAAGGGTATTTTAAAACAATTGATCTCTTCTTTCACACCCCAGCTAAGTGGGGCACATGTTAGTAAAACACACCTAGGGCTGGTGCTGAAACTGGGTTTGCTCTGGGGAGGTGGGGAACAAAACCCTGCATGAAATAATTTGAAAAGGCAGCTTTGAGCTTCTCAGATGTAAAATGTTTTATTTAGCAGCAACACAACTTCTATTTGACAGCTGGTTTGCTACTGGCAAGGAGTCTAAAGACACAGTGACAAAGTGCTGGGCTGACTGCCTTCCAAATGAAGCTGTGCTCACATCCCTGCTACTGAAGTAAATGATGTCATTCCAGACCACGGTGTATCAACACTGGAGTAGGGAACAGCACCATGTTCATACTATGTGCCCATAAGACAATCCAGCCTGTATGCCAATCTACAGCTCCTATTTTAAAGTGCCCTCTCTGGATAATGTTTATTTAAAGATATCCAGAAAAATTCACATATCTGGGTTTTTTTTAGGGAGTTAAATGATGCCACTTAGCTAAAAAGTGACCTGCAGTGTCTCTCCTGCTGCTAATGCAGCAGATAATCAATCATTCCTTTCAGAGCTCTCCACAGCACAGAGGTCAGTAATCCATATTCATCTTTCATGCAAGTCTGCCACAATGAGTCTGTGGTTCCTAAGGCAGCAGTGGATTTGGGCTGTCATTTCCTTGAGGGACAACAACTGAGACAATGAGTTCCTGTGGCACAGGGGGCAGGGAAGGGGTCACAGATTCCTGTGATAGCTGGATAGGTCACATGCCTTCCAGCAATATTAAGTTTCAAAATCTAGTTTCCACAAAAGTAATTTTGTCTTCTTTTACTCAAATCAATGACTCAGTAGCCTGTGACAGTACCCTGCAAACGCTGACCACGAGTGGCTGCAGTATGTACTGGCAAAATGAAAATTTCATTTGATTTTCATTCTTGATTGAACATTCATAGCTTTTTTTTAAAGATTCAGACAAAACCAAATCCTAGCAAAACCTCAATCACAGCTAAAGTATTCCATCTCCACGTGGTGAAAAATTATTAGAATGAAAGATCATGTTCTTCCATGATGGTGTTACATCCTCATTTCTACCAGTGACACAAGCCTGTAAATTTCCAGACATTCCCATCAATTTGACTCAAAGATTTATTTCTCACTCTTTCCATCTACAAGCTGCAATCATAAATATATGCAGATTTGATGAAAAAGAATGAAGTTACTGAACCAAGATATTCAGTAATGGTATCTAAAAGCACGGAGACTTTCACAGGGTTTAGGATTTTCTCATGCCAGTGTCCTTCTGCTGGCAAACTGAAGTGATCTGAAACCCTGATCAACACCTCTGAACCAGACTCCCTAAGTCATTGTACTCACATTGTTCATCAACTGGGATGGGAACTCTGCTGTTCTATCTGTGCCTCAGATTTCTGACTGAACTTGGATCTCTTTTAAGCTTGCTTTTGCATATGGAGCAGTCTTTTGATCAGAAAAAGCAAACTGCATGCAAAGAGAATATAATTAAATAGTAAAAGCAAGGACATGGATTTTATCACTGTTTCCTATGTCAGTTCAAATAAGCCAATTTGCACAAAATTAAGGTTCTACAAAATTTTTTTCACTTGAATAAATGAAGGTGGAAACCCTTAACTAGTTGCTTTTGATCACTGGGTTTTCTTTCTCTTAGTCTGAGGTGGTCAAGGCATTGTCTGGTTTTAGCAGGACATACAGACTTGCCCTGGGAGTGCCTCCATGCTGCAGGAGCTTCAGGAAGAACAGAAATCCTGACTTAGACTGTGGGAAGGGGGAAGGGAAATGAAAAAAATTGCTTTACTTATTTCTTAGCTTTCTCATGGAAAGCACACAGTGTCCAGGTAAACTCTAAAGCAATATGAACGTGTCTCCAGTCTTGTCCAACTCTGTTGTTCATGCTTTCATACCATTTTCTTCTCCTGTGTGTTTAGTTCTCTATTACTTACAAGCAGAGAAAGATTTTAATGCAGAATGAGAAATTTAGCAGAGAAAATGAATTCTCAGCTATCCTTGGATGGCCTTGCTTATATAATATAGAAGCATACAGAAATATAACAACATAGACACAAGCTCCAGTATAGATTTATGCACCTTATTCATACCTTGGCTTCCAGCCAAATGCAACTGAATGCCTGAATAGAAATATTTCCCAGCATTGGAAATGCTCCCAAGCTTGAGAACAGGTATAAATATTAATGCTAGCAGAGACAAAATCCTCCCTGACCCTTTTCGTGCTTAATTCTGAGGGTCGCTCAATGAAACTCATTGATAGACACGATTTTTAGTTGCTATTTGAGAACCACAGCATGGCTGTGGGCATGGAGGGCTGTGAATCAGGAGAGTTAGAAAAGACCTCTGAGCCCAGCAAGTCCAGTGTGTGACCAAACACCACCCTGTCAACCAGAGCATGTCCAGGCTTTCCTTAACACCTCCAGGGATGGTGACTCCAGCACTAAACTGGGCAGTCCATTCCCACCTCTAATCACCCTTTCTGTGATGTTCTTCCTCGTGTCTAACCTAAACCATTGATGCAGCTTAAGACGCTCCTTCTCCTCCTGTGGGGCACTGAGCCCTGTGGGCACTGAGCACTGTGGGTCAGTGAGCACTGTGGGCACTGAGCGCTGTGGGTACTAAGCGCTGTGGGCGGATGAAGGCTGAGGGCACCAAGGCCTGTGGACATTGAGCACCGTGGGCACTGGGGACTTAAGAGTGCTGTGGGTCACTGAGCGCTGTGGGTCACATCACAGACTGCTGTGGGTCAGTGAGCCCTGTGGGTCACAGAGCGCTGTGGGTCACTGAGCGCTGCCCACCAGGCGCCCCCACAGCCGCTGCCACTGTCAAGATGGCGCTGCCGCCCCCCACGGCCTGGAACCGCGCGGCCACAGGGGGGCGCTGCGGGTGTGCAGGGCGTCCTTGCGCCCCCTGGCGGCCGGGGCGGCCTTGCCCCCGCAGCCGGGCGGAACCAACTCGCAAAACAGGGAGGGGGGGGGGAGGATCGGCCCACCGCGCGCGCCTCCGGCCTCTCCCCTCCCTCCGCCCTCCTCGCGTGTACGCCCGCCTTCCCCCCCCTCCCCGCTTTACCTTGGTGCAGTCGTGCCGCGGCCCCGCCCCGCCGGGTGCCCCCGCTCCGGTGGGCGCGGGAGGCGCGAGCCACCGCCTTCCCTGCCCTGTCCTCACCGCGCGTGCGGCGCCGCGCGCCCCGCCCCTCGCGCGGCACGTCACGGCACGTCACGGCACGTCACGGCGCGTCCGCCAGCTGAGCGCTCGCCCGGAAGTGATGCGGTGGAGGCAGAGCCGCTGGGCGCCGCGGAGGTGAGTGAATTGGACCGGAGCTCTTCCCGTCCGCCCGGGCTGCGGGGGAGCGCCGGGGGCGGCGCGGGGCTCGGCCGGGCTCGGCACGGCCCGGGAGACACCGCGGGCGGCGGGACTAGTCCGTGCCCGCCAGCGCCGGTTGTGCTCGGGGGGCCCCGCGCCGCCGCCCCCTCACGGCAGGGCCCCCCGAGGCGCAGCCCCGCAGCGCCGGGACAGCCCGCTGGGAGCGGCCGGACGGGCGCTGCCCCGGTACCGCGGGCGGGGCGGTCCCGGCGGGCGCTGCTCCGGGCGGTGCCGGTGGGTCCGGTGCCCCGGGCCGATCCCACCCGCGCTCATCGCCGTGCCCCGAGCGGCGCTGCCGCCTCGCCCCGGGTTTGGGGTCTGCGGGGTTTTTCCGTTCCGGTGGGCGCCGTCTGCGGGCTCCCAGAACGTCCCTGCAATGGTCGGTGCGGGCGGCCCCGCAGCCCCCGGGCCGGGCAGAGCCGCTGCTTTGTTCGGGTGCGCTCCTGCCCAGCCTTCTCACATGCCACGCTAGAACGTGAATGTTCGACGTGTTTTCAGGAGAAAGACAGAGAAATAAACTGTAAAGTGATTTATTTCCTAGGTAGTTCTCGCCATCTGAACGTGCCCCCTTTGCACAGCCACTTCTTTTTCCTGCTTCAGCTCTTCCTCCCTCCCCTGAGCGTGTTTACCCTTCCTGTGCACGCTGCAATCTGCATTAATCACTCTCTGGGGCTGTGGTGGTACTAATAAGCTACTCATAGCAACTTAAATTATAACTTGCATAATCAGTGTTTTGAGCAAATATTGGTCGGAGGAATATGCCTGTCCTATCAGTGCTGTGGTTGCTGGAAAGAATCATTGATTATCTTTTAAATAGTTAACACTGCTGATATGCTGCCCTTCAAAATGTTACATTGATAACTGAGCAGGCTGATGCCAAGTGTCAGAACACAGCATTGATCCAGAGCTGGTAACTTTTTTGAATGACAGTGTCTGTCACATAATTTAAAGTGCTAATGAATTAAGTGCTCTGAAAAGAAAAGGGGCATAGCTGTACGAAGGAAAAGCACAGAGCTGCCCTACCTTTTTGAAAATTACAGGCCTCACTGGCATGGTCTGTATGTTTTTGAGAGAACAGTTGAGCAAAAGACGTTATCTAAACAAATTCTTATGTGTTTAAAAACCTCTTTGTTAAACAGTTTGTGTGTAGCTACAGTACTAGTGCTTTATTTGGGCTACAGCAATAGGAAGAGAGAGTGTCTGAGTACTTGTTTCCCTTGCCTGCATCTGAACACTGCTGCATGTTTCCCTGGTGAAAGATAATCCTCAGAACAGGAAACGCAGTCCCTTAGTTAAGATTGCATGTGAAAGTAGAGAGATCTCACCCCATGTTCTTGTCAGTTCTGTAGTCTGTCCTCAGAGTCTCCCCCGCGCAGGTGTGTCGTGGTGGTTGTGGATAACATTCACTTTTACATGACAGGCAGCTCACAGTCTACAGCAAAGCTTTTCTGCACATCAGCAGAAAAAGGAGAGCTTGTGATCTGTGCTGAATTAGTTCAGATTAGCAAAGTGCAACTGGCTTTACAAACTTACTGCAAATACCGGCTCTTGTAATGTTTTTTAAAACTGATTATTTCCTAATAGCAAGTTGTATGTAGGCATGAATACTGTAATTCTGTAAAAAAAAAAAAAAGTAACACAAGTAATAACAGGGGAATTGCAGCTTTGGTACTACTTGGCTGCTTTCTTTGTGAGACTGACAGCCTCCAGTATGAGCTGCAATCAGCTCATATAATCAGGATCTTCAAGGTGCCTTTTCTGTCCAGATTCTTGCTTTATTTTGAGGTTGAATGTTGTTGTGTTCATAGCAAATTCTCAATGATTTGTGTCAGCAGTTCTGATAATTTGTTGATCTTGGAAATTTGTTAATAATTACATTTTGCTTCCATTTAGCATGAATTGTGTTGAAAAAAGACAATCAGATAAAGGAGTGGCTTTGAGAGAAAACTGAGAACAGCTCTTTTGGAAGACCCTTATTGAAATTAATTGAAGAAATATATATTGAGCAAGAAGGGCTGCCAGACAGCTTAACAGATTTCTAAAATGTGTTCTGAGAAATTTGTGTGTGGATAAGGAAGAGGCTTGGTTCTGCTGCTTGCTTTGGTTCAGCTTAAGGAACAGGAAGAAATCCTCAGTGTTGGGTATGTGTACAGGGGCAGTGGGGCACAAAGTAGATGGAAAGGGGTGGAAGAAGAGGGAACAGACATGGCTTCTACTCTTGCATTTCCTCATGGCACAAGGGAATGCACAGAGAGTGTGGATACAGAGATGCACAGCTGCAGGTCAGGAGGAGTAAGAGTGCCCCAGCACTGCTCAGATCTGTCCCACACTGAAGCACTTGATTTTCTTTACTGGTGCCAGGGAAATGTTGGTAAATTTAATTTAGAGCCTTGGAGCACTATAAAATCCATCATGATGGGGCTTTGGCAGTTTGTAAGAACTTGCAAATTGCAGAAACAATGTTATTGTTCCATTAGGCACTTGGGTCTGTACGTGAATGTAACAGGAAAACTCTGCTCTGAGTAAGAAGAGACTATAAAAATAGAAGCATGTGATATTAGAAAAACAGTCCATTCTTTCATCTTCAAAACTGCAGAAGGAGCTGAATATTGGTAGCCAGAATTCTTGGAAGGCTGAGAGAACAATCTGTAAACACTCCAGGGACTTGGTAGTCACAGGAAGATAAGGGGGAACCCCCTTAACAGTTTCATCAGAATTCCCTGCCTGGGCTCCTTCTCTTTGGCTGCTTCTCCCTAGGGGTCTGCATCTTATCTCACTGGCTTCCTTTCCTCTATTTGCCTCTGACTAATGGGCTTTGTCTGCTGGTTACTGGAAGTCTAATAAGTTCTTTTGTCTCTTAACCCTTCCTCCTTTTCAGAAATACTAGATTAATGGCTGTAATGTTTTGCAGACTATCTGCCTTGGTGACATGGATTAATTGTGTGCTTGACTCCTAAGTTACCCAGCAGTAATGACATAGTAACTTGACTTGAAACAATGGTAATTTCATGGCAAATGTTCAAGGCAAATGTTGCCTTCTGGTAAAGTGCCAGCTGCAATTTACCCCCTGTAAACATGTGACACAAGTAAACTGGCTGTGCAGATTTTCTCAGTGTCTTCTGTACAGTAAGTTGTCTTTTGAAACAGTCAGAGATCTCTCTTGTCTCCTCCCTCCCTTTCTTTTGACTCTCGCTTGAGTCAGGTAATTACAGATCTGAGCTGAAACCTTCCCAGGGAGGGATCAGGAAAGCCAGGACTTGCAGAGCTGCTCCACTGCTCACTGGCACCTTGGCTCCCCCTTCCCTGAGAGGGTTTGTGGGTGCACTGGGCTCTGGGTGGGTGAACTGGAGAGCCCCAGGCAGGTGGGGTTGGCAGAGCCAGGGGAGCTCTGATTGCCCTGCACAAGTGCCAGTGTTCTTTGTGGTGACAGGAGGAGGTTCTGCTTGGCACGTGTGGCTTTGGTGTGATAGTGTGGTGATCTTTGTATATTCTGATCTCAGTGCTGACCATAACAGAGCAAATAAGGAATCAAAGCCTCTTGCCTAAAAGGTACTCTCAGAACTGACCCATTTAGGTCTCCATTTTATCCATGTGTCTTGGAGGGCAGCTCTCTGCTCCAATGATCTGCATCTAAAGGAAGCAGAAAATCTGGATTTTAGTTAAAGGTTATTTCATTGCAATATTTTGCTGCTAGAAGAATGACAGTTAGGGGACTACTTAGATGTAAGTATTAAAGAACTCTTTCACAGAAGCAGGAATACTGTAGAGGAACCAGCAAAAGCATGGGTGGTGAGACAGGATTCCAGTAAAGAGAGTAAGCTAGTGTAATCTTGTAGTGTCTCAGAAAGAATAGTTATAAATGCTGTTCTGTCTACAGCATCTGTTTTGTGAAAGACAAAACTTACTTTGCAAAATGTGAGAATGCTGTTCCTGACCTCCCGTCACAGTTTGTTATTCCCACAAAGTCAGGCTGCCAGAGACAGTATGACAGTCATAGTTGTTTGTTGTCTCACTTTTCCTGTTTAGTGAACAGAAGTGGGTTTTTTTTGAACCAAAAGGATTATGTGCTCCTGAAATACACCAGTCTTATTTTTGCATCCGTATAGTAGCAGAAGGTGACGGTTTTTAGTTTTTTTCTTTGAGTTTTTTTTTGTGTGATGCTTTTGCTCCTGCAACTTTGCAACTTGTAATGCAGTCAGTCCTTTTGTCTTAAAATTGAAACGGAGGGAGAAAATCATCTTAGCACCTATGATTATGGGAGGCACATGTAGCTTAGTAATAGACTCACAAACACAAATGTCCTAGCTCTTGGTTTTGGTCATGTGCTGACTGTTCAATATTTTCATTGCCAATGAATCTGTACAGAGAGCCTTGAGTATTCTGGATCAGCTATAAATGGGTGGCTGGAGTGCCAGAGGTCTGATGTATTTATTCCAGCTTCCAGCAGTTACCTGTGCTTGGAGTCAGTGATTATGTCTCATGAAACACAGCATAGATACCTACACACCTGGTCTCTTGTGGGCAGAGGATGTCAAGAGAAATCAAGTAGATGTGAAAACCTATGAAAGAAAGGTGTGTGTTGGTTGAAGCTGCCCTCAGATTTCTCAAGGACAGGTGAGAGTCTTTGTTGCAACTGATGACCAAGTTTGAGTGCTCAAAGGAGCTCCTTTGAAGCTGCTGCTACAGTTAGCATCAAAATGCTGCAGCATCCTTTGTACAGTGGGAAAGGTTGGTGTTGTTCACTGAAATAGGGAAGTTGCAAATCAAATCAGGAGAGAGAATTAGGCCTTCTGCAGGTGGCTGTGTGTATTTTCTGCTTTAGAAACTGCAG